GGACGTCCGAAATTAGCCTTTTTATAGATTAACCGGCGTTATTCTTTGTTACGTGTGCTCAATAATACCTGGAGGACGATCACTCCTATCATATAATTAATGTGATAATCTTCAGGGAGGAGTGTTTGAATACTCCAACAAACCAAAGAAACACCACTGACTTTTCTAGCAGCTGTAATCGATCAAACTAATGTCAATACAGACAACCTCATTAATGATACCTAAAGTTAGCCATGTGTGAATATTAACATATGTTAATATGAAGAGAAAGGGACCAAAATGAAAGATTTTTATAAGAAATAGTTATTTATTTGTCCCCAAGATGGAGAATCCTGTTTGTGTGATGAATATCAAGTTACCACAAACAGGCAGTTAGCTTAGCATGTAAGAAAGACACTAACAAACCTAAGCTAACGGTCTTTCGATGCTATAATTAGCTAACAGTACAGAAAAGGGAGAAGTATTGATATTCTCATCACTCTTGGCATGAGGCAAATGAGCACAATTCCCAACTTGTTGAACTACTCCTTTAATAAAATGGCGTATAACATGTGAGTATTAAATTGCCCGAGGCATCAGAACATCCAATAAGCATGTCAAATGTGAGGGTATTGACTTTGGAAATGTTCAAGCAGAACATATGAGGTTCTGAGCTTTACCTGGAGGACATTACGTTTCCTCACGTTGTGACATATGAAGCGGCTTCAAGTCCCAAACCTCCAAACAAACGCACGCAGATGCTTTGCTAATCAATTCAGTAATACATTAAAATACTTTACATCCAAATATACCAGGCTAATTTACTGATAAGAAAACAATGTCAGTGTTGTTTAGGTTGAAATAAATAAGCCGAACATGTGGTTCATATAAATGGTTTCTTTGTATAGAAGCGTACAGAAATGCACACCATGTTTTTATCATGGCTTCATGTTAGCTGAGATTGAGTAGATAGCTGTAATATTGGCAAACACACTCGTTTTTTTATACATTTGTAAATCCTTTTAACATATTTTCCCTTTTCACATCCCCCTTTTTCATTATCCCAGTTCTTCCCCTCTGTCTCCATTTCTCTCTGTGTATGAGGGTAATTGGCACTCTGTTTCTTTAATTAAAATGAGGTCTAATTGTAGCCGAAGCAGGGCAAACGTTCATAGGCCTGTAATTTCCCTATCTCACTCCAAAGCCACAGTGAAAGTGTAACAAGGGGCATATAGGGATGGAAATTAACACAGAAGTGTAAAATGGGTTTCAGTGAAAATGGGTCCTGATCTCAAATTGGATGTCGGTTTTCTAGACCCTGAAGACAGCTCTAAAGAAAATAAAGGTGTCATATTTGTCATATAGTCACTCTTTGTAAAAAACACAGGGTCAGGTTTTACATTTCAAAGAAAAACCCTCCATTGTTGTCTGCCTTTCATACAGAAAACGCAATACCTTCCCATGGCGGTGTGTTTCTGACACGGTTAAATGATTTAAATAAAAACTAAACCAGGCTCATTTAAATCTTCGTTAGACATGTCTTTTTTGTGCTTCTACCGTGGTAAAACAAGTCTTACAGTGTCTATAACAAAATTATGTTTCAAATATTCCATAATTGTAAATCCACGGATCAGTCCTAGTCTTCCTGCCAGCGCCAGTATCAGTTCAGACGTGTCCACTGTCTCCTAATGTGGATGACTGTACTGTAATTACTGTACAATTGTTTGTTTTGGGTGTTAAATAAGGTTCATGACGAATTCTCATTGTTCCTTTGGGCAATTTTCCGGCGGTGGGTGGCCGCCGCCGCTGCTGTAAGAATGTAGGGGAAAAGCCAGCTTCCTCCAGCAGGGCTTAAAGTCTGCACCTTCAGCAGGGGAAGGCAAGGCCGTGCACGCACATAATGCACACACATAATGCACACACTCGCCATCTCATCGAAACACTCACACATCCTGCCTCATAAACCCTAATGATAGAGCTGTGATTATCAAGCCTGGGGCGGTGGCGTTCCTCTTCCACTGCTTCAAAACGAAAAAGAAAAAAAATCAGCATATGAAACAGAGGCAGGTGTGCATGTGATAGGTGGAGACAGGGCGGCCTGCGTATTATGAAGGTGTTTCTTTTAATTATGCTGGAGTGAACTCGAGGTAGACTAAATTGTGGGGAAAGCACCGGCCTGAACTTTGTCATCCAATTATCCTCCTCAGCCACCTCTCTCCTTTCTTCCACTTTATCGCCTCCGATTGTTGTTGGAAAGCTGCTGGGCTCCTGTGGATTTTTGAAGTAGTAGAGGGAGAAATGGTATATATGCGTGTGTGTGTGTTTCTTTACGAGGAGTTTGCACACAGAGAGCGTGAAATGAGTAGATTGTAAAATAGAAACGGGTAATAGGTAATTGAGTGAAGAGACATGTATCTCTCGGTGTAATTTCATGACAACCCTGCTGCATATGCAACCCCTAATAGTAAGAGGTGTCAAGGCACACTGGAGGAGACCAATAGAAAGATTTAAATAATGGGGCCGTTCGGCAGTGAGAGTGGGAAGGGAAGGAAGGGAGGAATTGTGCGTGTGTGTGTGTGTGTGTGGGTTGTTCACTGTGGAAATATATTAAATTAACAGGGGCTATGTGAGCAGCAGTGGGCGTGATCGAGTGATCATTGAAATCATTATGAGAAAACGAGGATATGAAGAGGCAGATATTTATAGATGACACCGGACACTCGTTCTTTTTCTGCCAATTAGTCTGTATTCATATTTGTAATCTAAAGAAGGAGGAGAAGTAGCAGTATCTTTTTAATCGCAAAATTAGGACTTTAGACCTGCACCTGTAGACGTAGATGTAGGATGTTTTATAAAAAATGTAAGGAACATTTATAATCGACTTTATCAATCATGGTTGAACAACAAACAGATTTAATGTGAGGCTGTATGCTTATAATATCCAAATGTGTATCTATTTTCAGTTTAAAGTGCTTAAACATTGGCCAAAGTTGTTTAGTTTGACTTTGAAATCAAGAGTCGGACTCAGAGTTTTTGTGAATTTCAATGGGACGTGGGTTGCTAAGTGCTGAATGTGATTGCCTCTCACTTTACTCAGGTTCACAGAGATTAGTAACTGTAGGCGTTGCTGTTATTTTTGTAAAATACTACTTCATAATGTTCTCAACGAAATATATTCCAGACATCCTGTTCTCCTGTATTATTAGTCACAGTTATTGAACAGACAATTAAAGTAACTTCAACAATTATATAATGTTCATGATTCTGGTGTTAAATGTCTAGAAATTGACATTTGAACTATGGGAGATGTGGTTACATGTTTTTAGATAATGGTTTGTCCTTGCTGCAACTAACGGTTATTTAATATTGAATAATGAATTTCATTGATACATGTCCATCACTATATCCCAGAACACACTATGTCTTCAGGGTTGTTACATAGCCTAAATATGTTCACAATGGTATGAAGACATCAGGAGCGTTTGTTGAATTTGAATGAAACAATTCATTAAGTTTAATTTCACTACTTCTCAAACTTTTAATTAAAATGAAGTGCCAGACAATGGGGAAACAAACATTTTCAGTCGAGGTTGTTTCATTCTGTTTAAAGCTCAGTTCAAAGAAGAAGAATAATGAACAACTTTGTCTCTGAAAAGGAAGACCTGTAGCCATTATTAAAAGATAAGAGAAGTCTGATTTGAGATCAACAGGCGTATCTGATCCCACATATTGATAACTACAGACTGAACCACTGAATCTGTGTTTAAAAGGACTCTGATACTTTATTTTGTCGGGTATGAATTTAGAGCAGATGTTTTGGACAACAAAGCTACATGTGAAGCGAGTAGGGAGTGGAAACAATAATGAACAGCTGAGAAAAGCAACACTTTGGCCTCATCCAGGCTTCATGCCAAAATAAATATGTGAATAAACAAACGTTTAAATGAATGACTGTTTTAATGCAGTTCAGGCACCATAGCATTACTACTGAAATCATTATTGGAAAACGTGTAGAAACCAAAATTGTGGCTGGGCCATATATTGTGTTTGAGAGTGTGTATTAGTGAGGTTATGGGCGGCCAGACTTTACTGTGGAGCCTTTATATGAGGAGCCTAATTCAACACAACATCTTAATAACCCCAATGATGAATTCACCCTGAAACCCCCCGTTTCCTTAGACTTCCATTTTCATGCAAGTGCTCGCCTTGATCATGGCACACAGGAGAGCCGCATTAAATCCTGTTTATTGGTAAAACCAAACGGCCTCACCCTTGAGATGAGCCTCTGTGGAGAAAACGCATGGCTCTAAAAACCCGGTCTGTGGCAGAAACCTCACCCCATCAGCATGAACACTAGTCACAATTCAGCAGAGACAATCTGCCAACACAGCTGGGGGAGAGAGATGTCCTCGCATGAAAATAAATGTCTTCACCTTAACCAAACCCTGCGCTAAGTTGCATGCAGTTCAAGTCAGGGGTTCTATTGCGATACTGAATCATAGCTCCGATTGTTTGTGAGCTGGCAGCGTGCCCCTCAAAAGATTACAAGAAAACCAATTCTATTGTAATCACAGATCGTGACTGGAAGGGCTTAAATCTTTTTATTTCTGTGAGTGTGTACCGAGTCTGGTCTGCTGCCTTGTTCACACTTCTTGTCTTTACTTCCTCTGGACAAAGACGGACTCTTTTGAGCAGGTTTAGTGTGACCACAGGCATGGTGTGTCTCCGAGAAACACAAGGGACGTGGCGTGGGTGGAATGAAAACAAACATGAGAGGAAAGACAATTTTAGGGTAGTGGGAATGTTTTTGTAGATGTAATTGACTGGTGAAACTCCTTCTTCTAGCGTAATCCCAATGTAAGCCATAGCTGATACTTAGCGGAGAGCTCGGGACTCGAAAATGTTCACTCTTTGATTTTAAATTCACTTGTGTGTGTTTCCCTGAATGTAAATTAGTCTTATACGTGTCCTTTTTACTTTTCCTGCTGTGTGATATAATGTGTTTTATTTATTTTTCACAGAGGTCCTGATGAACACTAAGACGGAGACTTCTGATCTCAAATGGACCGTCTTCTCACATGCCAAACCCGAGGTATGTAACCCGAGCTCCACTATGTTATCTGTATTACTAACACAGACCGTGTGGTGACTGTGGATGTTGGGCTTCCAGCAGTTCCTTTGTTACTTTGCTTATAAAAGAGCTCCTTATATGGCAGGTAACTGACAGAATAAAGGAAACGCCACAGAGAATGTGGTTCTCTGGATTCAGAGTACATTGAAAGCAGATGCCTTCAAGATATCCCATCAACCTTGGAGTTGAAGTTAATGGCTGCCCACAATTTTGAATACTGCTGCCAGAAAAAGACATATTTGTAATTTGATCAGTTGAGGAGTAGTTGCTAGGGTATTTTTGCCAACAGCGTCAGTGACCAAAACTGCTCAACTTGCTGATTTCTCAGAAGGAAAATGGTTCCAGTGATGCTGGCAAGGACATTTCTGAAACCAGACCAAAATACTCAACAAATGTGTATGCGCCCTTTGATTAAGATGCAACACTAAACAGGCGAACAGTCTCCATATAGCTTGCACGGAGACATGTCAAAAGCTTTGCATTGTCAAAGTATGGCAAAACTAACTTAACTCTATACAACAAAAAACTGACATTTAATCTGTAATGACAGGCAGCAGCAGCAGCGAGGAGCTGCCATGAGCTGTCTGCATCAAAATGACAGATTTAAAACAATAAATATACAGCTATTTATTTTTAGCATTAAAGGATTATGATACCCTTATAGGTGATATTTAAATTCTCATCCTGTCAGGTATTAATGCTGGCTCCTCTATTCCAAAAACACTTGAACACTGTTGTAAACTGTGAGTCGTTGCATTTACTTTAAAAAGAACAAGAAATAAAGCGTATATGTTATACACAGGATTAACCCTGCAATGTGTACTAAGTTAAATGTGTCTGCATAAAACACCATTTGTATGTGAATATTCATTTCAACCTCGCATTATGAATACTTCTGTATTTGGACAGTTCTCTGATTCGCTCTCATAACACATCTTTAGCAGATTATTTCAATATTTTTACTGACTATTTGCTGCCAGAGTCCATAGTATTTATTTATTTTTGATGAAAAGAGAAATGTTCCCCTGCCTGAGATTCAAACCAGGCTCGCATTGCTTTGCTGCACTGTAATTCATTCAGACTGGTATCCAGCCTCACTCAACACATAATCTGCAAATGGATTTTTGAAGATTTACATATTTACATAACTGAATTTCTGAGCCGCAAATCTGCTAAATTCTGCCCTGAGTATGTTAATGTCTTGCTTGTTTCCCGCTCTTGGATGCACAGTGATGGTGAACATGTTTGCTGTTGACTCAGAAGTCAAACATTAAAGCCTTTTCGGCTCCCCAACAAATGTCATTTTCTTTGGAGGGTTTTTCGCTTCATACATATTTGTGATATCCCCTCTGTTGTATTTTAGTCTAAAATAGTGTTTGAAGGGTGGAATCTGTGTTTGTCTCGGCTGCTGTGTTCGGCAGTGTGCTCAGTTTGACAATTGAGACTTGTATTCCCACTAGCCGGGCTGCAGCTCGGCAGGAGGAATGATTTAACAAACCACATTCAAATTTGGGCTGAATCTTAAATCCACAGCAGGCCGGATGTGTCCCCAGGGCCTCTGACAGGTGCAGTGCAGCAGAGGGCCAACAACAAATCTCAACATTATTATGATGAATAGGACTTTTAAAGGGATCCCTTTTTTAAAGACCTTAGTGGAAGCCTTTACAGTGGAATTTTAAAAAGTTTTCTGGGTCAGATGTCATTTTCACAACCTTTGACAATGCTTTGTTCTCTGCCCTCAGTGGGAGGAAGTAAGTGGTTTGGATGAGGAGAACAACAGCGTGAGGACCTATCAGATCTGTCAGACTGACAGCGCCTCCAGCCATTGGCTGCGCAGCGGCTTCATCCAGCGGAGAGGAGCTTCTCAGGTCTACGTGGAGCTGCGCTTCACCGTGATGGAGTGTTCCTCCAGGAGCATCCACCACCGCAGCTGTAAGGAGACCTTCAACTTGTACTACTACCAGGCCGACTCCGACGAGGCGACGTCCTCCTACCCGCCCTGGATGGAGAACCCATACACCAAGGTACGCCCCCCCCCACTCCTTATGGGACACTTCAATCCCATAACAAAGAGTACATAAATACTCTTTGTTACGGGATATCCTGTCAGTATTAAAGCACTTATTTTCTCTCTGTGGTTGTTATTTACTGAAAACTACTCCACCTTTAGAGTTTTTAAAGTCGCAGAACATAATAAACTAAAGGGTCGTAACTAACAATTAATTTCAAAGATGAATGCTGTTTATTTTCTCAATTAAGAGAACTCGAGTTTGGTTTAGAAGAAAAAGCATTGACTATTAAGTTGCGCCTTCAGTAATGCTTTTAATTAGCTTTTTACAACCTTACAGTCAAGAACATAAAATATTCTTCTGGCTGCATTCTGATGTTCATTGTATTAACACAAAATTAAAAAAGCAAATCCTCTCAATTGAAAAAGCTGGAACCATAACCTGTTTTTCAGCTTGGAAACGTATCGGCTTTAATGAATAATTAATTGTAAGAACCTGGATGACATAATACGTCTTGGATTAAGCTTTTAATTGTAAAATTCTCAACAAAAAGCGTATCTTAAAAACTAGTGATATAGGTGTTAACCTTGCAAGAAGGGCGCAATGGAAACAGGTTATTTAATGGTAATAGTCAATTGCACTTTACAATTTCCCCTGATATACCCTTACAAAACATTCATACACCAATGGTCCCTTGCAAGGCTAGGGAATAAAACTGGTTGATTTTTATATTTATTTAACTTTTTTAAATGGGTTTGTACTCCATTTTTTGACTGAAGTATGTGTACTTTACTTTTACTGACTTCTGACAAAAGCCTACCTCCACACTATCCAGTAAACCACTGCAAAACATGTATAGGAGTGAGCTAGAGTTGAAGTTTTCAGACTGACCTCTATTTTGCAGTCTGCACTCAATTATATATTTACAGTCATCCGCTTGCAGAGACATAAAGGTTGCTTTATGTAGTTATTACAGTCGACTGTTAATCACTTTTATATTCTGTCCAAGTTTTGTTATCGTCTCATGCGATCAAGTACTCTCCTCGTAGCTACATTCAATCTGTTTCTCAACCTGCATGTTTGCTCGGAGTTCATCTCCTGGCTTTCATTTTCCAAACGCACAGCTTATGATTGAAGTGCATTTCAGCAGCTCATTGTCAAACCTCAGATGTTGCAGCGTCCTTGAACACACCACCAAAGAGAGGGTTTCAGAATAGTGCCTTCTGCTCGACTTCATTACTAAATAATGTAACTTTGACAGAGAAATAAAAGTGATGAACTGTTCATTGTGATAAATTACCTTTCTCCCAAGCGAGTTTAAAATCCCTGCAAGTCGAGGTTCAAAGTGTACTGTAACAAATGGGAAACAATGGCTGCCAGGAAGGTAGGAAATCAATCTGAAATCACAGTGGTATGCTTTGGAAAAGGTTGAATAATGTAAAGCATATGTGATGCTTGGTTAATGGGCTAAAATGTATAAAACATGCAAAACCGCCAGTCTGGTCCCTCTTAAGACTGAATCCAGAGCTGGAATCGGGCCATCACATAAAATCTTTTCTCTCTCTTCCCGTCCTAGGTGGACACAGTGGCTGCAGACTTTCTACGGAGGAAGGGCGGGGAGAGGAAATTCAATGTGAAGACCTTAAGGCTCGGCCCTCTGTCCAAGAGAGGTTTCTACTTGGCCTTCCAGGCTCAGGGCGCCTGCATGGCCCTGCTGTCCGTCAGGGTCTTCTTCAAGAAGTGTCCCCCCCTGGTCAGTGCTCTTTCCTCCTTCCCAGAGACCGTCCCCCGCACCCTGGTGCAGGAGGCCCAGGGTGTGTGTGTGGAGCACTCCGCCCAGCAGGGGCCTCGACCTCGGCCCCCGAAGCTCTTCTGCGGGGAAGACGGTCAGTGGGTGGGCCAGCCGACAACTTCCTGTGCCTGCATGCCAGGATATGAACCCTTCGAAGGACAAACCAGATGCACAGGTAAGAAGGAGGCAAGGCTAAGACGCTTGTACTAGTTTGTTTATAGACTACACCCGCGCAGGCAGCAGAGCAGGCCGACTAAACAAGAACAAACAATGGTAAGATGAGGGTGGGGTTCATCGAGGAGAGAAACGTTGAGAGGAAACTAATGAGGCAGCGGAGCGGCAGTAACCCGGAGTGGACAGAGAGAGGTCAGGCGGAGCAGCACTTATCTCTGAGAGGAGGAGCAGGGTCAAAGGCTTACTGCTGCCACAGCTTCAGAACTTAGAAGGAGCACAGGGGGAGAGGTGAGGAGAACGAGAGCGGGGGGGGGGACACTCGGGGGTGAAGATCATATCACTTTGAGAACATCAAAGCAAAGCAGACAAAAAAGAAGAAGAAGCAGGGTGTTTCTCTCGGGAGCCGTGCAGCAGCTCTGTCTAATGAGTCCAATTAACAAGCCTCGTGTATGAACCCCTTCCTTTGCACACACACACAATTACTCTGCCTCACACCAACACAGATACATGTTGAGCTCTAAGGACACAGAAACACAAGGAGAAATGGTTATTTTTCAACAGTAAGTGTGTCGTTGCATCTGTGTGTGTTTTTGAAGGTAGGATTCAGTTTGATCTCTGTGGGAGGTATAATGATTTTTCATCACAAAAAAAAAATCATTTCCGACATTTTGCTTCTAGTGAAGTGGGTTTGGCGTTTCCAGCGTTCTGTTACTGCAGAGAGCTGTGAGGAAAGAAACACTCATCATAACGAGAAATTGCCTTTATAGCAAGATTGAAAAGGTAATTTGCTTCATAGGCCAGCCAGTTAAAAGGTGAAATTGACATCTAAATTTAAAATCAAAATACTTATACTGTACTATAAATGTTGTATATATATTTTTGAATCATACACAACCTTTTATCATAAAACGTATGAATGCTGTCAAGTTGATATAGTGTTATACTTAAGCTTGATAAGAATATTAAAACAATTTGTTGAAGTGAATCTCAATCAGGCTATACATATTGTTACATTGAGAGAGATATATATCAAAGTGCCAGTAAACTTGAGCTTTACTAATGTTATATTATACAAATGGTGACAAGAATAATCATCATATCCATAACATCCAAAGTGAAAAGAATAGTATTTCGATAAAGTGGTTTTTACTCAGACAAAATAATCACTCATATTGGCGTGAACTGCAAGTGCTAAACAGTTTTACAGCTGAAGTCATTGAAAAGCACTGTTTAGTGAACAATAGAAACAGGCTGTAAGTGTCCTTTTGTTGGGAAATAAGTGCTCCAGAAGTTGTGTTTCATAATACTGTTCGGTGACAGTCACTTGCATTTCATCTATAAATAATATATTTCAACAACCTTCAACAGGTGAGACATGCATCAGCATTCAGAACATTTTTCACATCATGGAAATTCCCGCAGGCAAAGTGTGACTTGGCAAGAATCAGAAAGAGTGTGTTGATCCTTTAAAAATGCTCCACTTTGTGTGAAAAACGATTGTTTTATTCATCTGACTCAGCTGGAGCTGCATTCAAACAGCCGCACTGAACACTCATCGTAAACACTGCATGGCTGAATGTGGCGTTACGAGGTGACGGATCAATATAAAATGGGTTCAGATCAGGGCAAATATATACATTCACAGTGATACAAAACAGAAAAGCAGTAAATCCTTGAGGAGCCAAAACCAGAGAAAGTGTTAAACATTTTCAAATCAATTGGGAAAATTGTTGTAAATAGATTTTCTGTCAGTCAACTCATCGATGAATCAATATATCCTTTCAGCACTTGTTCAAAGTCATTTAAAGCCATGAATTCCACAGTGCAGTTATTGGTTTTACAAGAGCACAGAGAGAGAGAGTATAATAAGAGACAGTTCTTTGTAAGGACACCAGCGTTATGCCTTCTTACTCAGATATGGTCAGGTAAAGTCAAGGATCAGCATCAGGTCAGGTCAGATCTGTCAGGTTTAGAAACTAAATTGACCATTACTCTCTGCTTCATTACTGTGATTGTCTTCAGTTTATAGCAGGGGTGCCCAACCTTTTTTGAACTGAGAGCTACTTTTAAAGTTGCCAGTCTGCCGAGATCTACCAGTCCAAATAGAGAGGCGTAGCCATTACTGACAGCCTACTACCAGGTAAATACACACTTCTACTTGTATAAAACTGACCTTCGTACGATGAATACTTCATAAAATACTGCAGATCCTTTATCTTACCTCTTTCTAATCTACACACATACAAATATTTAACTGAAGTTACACAACAGTGTTGTTGATACAGAGTTGGAGTTTATTCACACGTCACTACAGTGGGTAATGTTTTCAAGAAACATTGAACAGTGCTGCCACATATGACACAGGAAAAAAAGAAAATACCCTTTATTTGCCATTATATAAAAATAGTGTTGCTACAAAAGTATAAATTAGGCTTACTAATTGTGGGTGACTCTGCTGTAAGAGATGTAAAAGGTCTGTGTAATAAGAACAACACCAAAGTACTCTGTTTTCCCAAGGATGTGGTCTCTGACTTGGCTGAGAAGATCCTGCATATTGGGGCTGAACATCTGACTGTGAAGAATGTGGTACTACACATTGGAACAAATTATGTTGTGAAACAACAGTCAGAAGTGCTGAAAGAAGACTTTAAATGTTTGTTGGAAACTGCCAGCTCTCTAAATGCAGATGTGTTCATCAGTGGCCCTCTACCGCCAGTCAGAAGAGGAGTGGAGAGATTCAGCAGATTGTTTGCACTGAACATCTGGCTTTCAACTGTCTGTACTGACCATTCTGTTCATTTTATTGACAATTTTAACTTTTTATGGGATCGCAGACATCTTTTCAAGGCAAATGGAGTTTGCCTGAACAAGTCAGGAGTGAAATTGTTTATCTCTAACATATTCAACTGCCTGCGTCATCAATCTGTTCCCTCTGCCAAGGACAAGCGAGAAGAGGAATCAAAACAAGAGAAAGACACAACACATCGCGCAGAAAACCCTGAAGTATTATCACTGACCCGCCTGAGGAATGTTCTGATTATGGGAGACCTTTGAGACACATGGAGGAGTCTCCAGTCTCAACTCTTTCCAGGACATGTCGGGGCCCTGCCTGCCAGTAGCTTTGCCGATATCTGTGTTGATAGGTAATAGATTAAGAGCGGTGAATCATAGAAACAGGAAGCGCTCAAACGTTTGTGTGAGTTTATCTAATTTAGCAGTGATTCCATGTCAGCCACAGCTTGTTACAAAAAACATGACTGATAGTGTGTTTAACAAACTTAAACTAGCTTTATTAAATGTCAGGTCTTTGGCAGGAAAAACATTTTTAATCAATGATTATATCACTGAGCACAATCTCGATTTTATGTTTTTAACAGAAACTTGGATTGAACAGAATAACAGTGCAGCTGTTCTTATCGAATCAACCCCTCCCAACTTTAGTTTTATGAGTCAGGAAAGAATGCATAAGAAAGGGGGTGGAGTTGCTATTCTGTTCAATGATTCCCTTCAATGCAGGAAGACATCTTATGGGAACTTTGATTCTTTTGAATATGTGGCCCTTCGGCTGAAATGCTCCTCTCGAGCTCTGTTCCTAAATATCTATAGACCACCCAAATACTGTGCAAGCTTTTTTGATGACTTTACTGAACTGCTGTCTATAGTGTGTATTGACTTTGACCGACTAGTCATTGTTGGTGATTTTAACATCCATGTTGACAACCCCCAGGACAGAGGGGCTAAAGAACTGTTTTCTGTTCTTGATAGCTATGGACTGACTCAGCATGTGACGGAGCCCACGCACAATAAGGGGCACACTCTGGACTTAATTATCTCAAAGGGTCTGAATATCTCTAAGGTTGTGGTGACTGATGTTGCACTCTCTGACCATTCCTGTGTTTTCTTTGAGAGCTCTATTTCTGTTCACAAAAATGTTCAAAAAGAGGTAACCACAAAGCGATATTTAACTGAAAATACTAGGGAAATGTTTACTCAGAATTTTTCTTCCACACTTGCCCCTGCTAACATCTCAGTAAATGAGCTAGTAGATCATTTTAATTCAAAAAATAAAAATCTTATAGATGCCATTGCTCCAACTAAGGTAAAGGAAGTGTCTGGCAAGAAAAGATCTCCATGGAGAAAGGCCATGACCGTGAGAGCAGAAAAAAGAGAATGTTGAAAAGCTGAACGCAGGTGGCGAAAAACAAATCTCCAGGTTCACTTTGAAATCTATAAAGAGAGACTTGGCCTTTATAATTTGGAATTGAAAAACGCACGACAATCGTTCTTCTCTGACATCATTACCAAAAACAAAAACAACGCACGTGCCTTGTTTGCTACCGTCGACAGACTAACTAACCCCCCAGTGTCGGTAGCCTCTGAATTTCTATCCACCAGGGCGTGCAATGATTTTGCCTCCTTCTTCACTGACAAAATTCAGAACATCAGACAAGCAGTCAGTGCCTCTGCATCAGGAACAGCAAATGTGTTGTCCCTCTGTCCACCTAATATCAATTCAAACACCATGACACAATTCCATCAGATTAATGATAAAAACCTAGAGGACATTATTCAACTTCTGAAATCCTCCTCCTGCTGCCTTGATATTATTCCAACAGGATTTTTCAAAGATGTTTTTCGTTGCATGGCCTCAGATCTACTTCATATAGTAAACAAATCTCTTCACTCAGGTATTTTTCCACAGGCCCTGAAAACTGCAGTCATTAAACCGCTCTTAAAAAAGAATAATCTAGATGCTTCAGTAATGAACAATTACAGGCCCATATCAAACCTCCCATTTCTAGGTAAAATCATTGAAAAAGTAGTCTTTCAACAGTTGAGTAAGTTCTTGCATTTAAATAACTGTTTCGATGTGTTCCAGTCAGGCTTTCGTCCAAACCACAGCACTGAGACTGCTCTTGTAAAGGTCTTTAATGACCTTAGTTTGGTCTTTGAACTCCAGGAAGGAATCAGAACATTCCTCAGGCAGGTCAGTGATAATTCTTCAGGGTTTTCTGCGCGATGTGTTGTGTCTTTCTCCTGTTTTGATTCCTCTTCTCGCTTGTCCTTGGCAGAGGGAACAGATTGATGACACAGGCAGTTGAATATGTTAGAGATAAACAATTTAACTCCTGACTTGTTCAGGCAAACTCCATTTGCCTTGAAAAGATGTCTGCGGTCCCAGAAAAAGTTAAAATTGTCAATAAAATGAACAGAATGGTCAGTACAGGCCGTTGAAAGCCACGTGTTCAGTGCAAACAATCTGCTGAATCTCTCCACTCCTCTTCTGACTGGCGGTAGAGGGCCACTGATGAACACATCTGCATTTAGAGAGCTGACAGTTTCCAACAGACATTTAAAGTCTTTTTTCAGCACTTCTGACTGTTGTTTCACAACATCATTTGTTCCAATGTGTAGTACCACATTCTTCACAGTCAGATGTTCAGCCCCAATATGCAGGATCTTCTCAGCCAAGTCAGAGACCTTATCCTTGGGAAAACAGAGTACTTTGGTGTTGTTCTTATTACACAGACCTTTTACATCTCTTACAGCAGAGTCACCCACAATCAGAGTTGCAGGCCCAGTCGTTAGCTTTCCCTCTAGCCTTTTACTTTTGGAGTAGCTATTGGTCCTTACCCTGTTGTGTGAAGAGGACAGGTTATCCAGGTTATCAGATCTCCGGTTCTCGGTCAGCGGAGCATATCTGTTCTGGATTAGCACACTTGGTGGTTTAGGAGGATTGTTTGTAATTCTCCCTTTAGCAGCTGTCCACTGCTGTTTCCTAGTATGAATATGGGTTGAAGAGGCGCTCCTCCTGGGTGATAACAATGCAGGCCAGCCGGTCGCATCACAGATTTCTGAGCGCTGGGCTCTGCCTGTTATCCGTCCTCCCAAATCCCATGGAAATGATTTACTCTTAGGCTTTGCAGTCCAGGGAGGACTACCACTTGTAGATTTATTACCCGGTACACAGCCCTCCTGTTCCTTGGAATCCTTGTAGCTGCTAACTAGCTGTGAGTTAGCATACCCTTCTCCATTAGGATGTCAGCTACAATCCTGTGGAAGCCATCAGGGAAGCAGCATGGCGAGACCCAAGGCAGGACCGCAGAGACAGGTTCAGCCATGACCCGAAACGTCCACGACTTAATCCAGAACTCGGGATAGAGGATCCAAGACACAGGACTACAGCAAGAGGATCAGCCTCGACTCCGGATCCCGGCGTAGATATAGATACAAAACAAGAAAAAACATTTGGCTGGGTTAATCGGAACAAGAGAATACACAGACACAGACAGAGAGTACATACGTGACGCCAAAAGAAAAGGCAATCTGACCCCAAGGGACACAGCAGGTTTTAAAGATTGGGGCCAGTGTTGTTATCTCCTGAATCATATTGATTTGTCTTCTCCTGTCCTCCCCAGCCTGTCCTCCAGCTCAGTTCAAGTCCTCCGCAGAGGGACAGTGCAAAGGCTGTCCAGGTTTCAGCCAAGCCACCATTGCAGGGGCCTCAGTCTGTGCGTGTCTATCTGGATACTTGCGTGCAGAGTCTGACACTCCTGACACACTGTGCACAAGTAAGTATTATACAGAAAAGTTACAAAAACTGTGATTCACTTTGCCTTTCCCATCTTTGGAGCTAATTCTCTTTTGCCTTGGTGTCATTTAGCCAAACTCCCCTAATCTGCTTTGTGTCCTTTGTCCCACTGCTGGCCATTGAGATGCATGACTTTGGTGACAGGTGGTTGGGGGGAGGGCGTCCAGTCCAAAGTGGAGTAGGCCTTGATGGGCTCAAGTGACACCTCCATGCAGATTCAGGAATTTCAATTCATCCACATGTTGGATGTGTGAATGGGAGGGACCGCTTAATGAGGTGCACTGGCCACAAAGTGGATGTGAAACAATGTGAAACTTGGGCGGGATGATGGCATTTCCTGTCCTCTGCAGGTGTGACAGCCTGGAACTACAATTTACATCCAATTGTATGATTACTGATAACTTTAATTACAAGGGCTTTATCTTAATTATTAATCACTTAATTAGGCCTTTCCTATTATATATGATGTTATTGTACTGGATTGCCTGCACAGTTCTGAATATCACTTTTATTTTCAATTTGTCTGCAAAATTGGAAAACCATCTGTAAATCATGGGGACCTTTTTCCATTAAATTAAGCGTTTTACAACACTGTGGCATCCATGGTGGCTTGAATAAAGTGGATTCTGATTGTTCAATCATAAAATGTACCATCACTATAGAAAAAAATCTCCAATCCAAAATCTTGAATTCAGAATGTATTCATCCAGATTGTCTATGAAGCTGCCCCATTTGGGTTTCCAATGAGAGCACTATTAGCTCTTAAGTTAGCTGCAGGCTCAGTGACAAAGCTCTGTCTCCTTGGCAGGAACAAAAACTCATTCGCAGTGGCTGAGTGGTATTGCTGTTTAGTTATGCTTGGCTTGAGGCAACAGCTATCTTCTTACAATTTCAGACGTGATCATTATCATCCGGTTTTAGACAAACGTAATTGCACCAGTTAAATCCCGCAACACATATGCTCGTGCTGTGATGCAAAGCCACTGCAGGACCCTCGTTCTGCTTCGTGACTACATGGGCTGACTGAATAAAATGTCTTCAGCGCATATGAAAAAACATTAAACAAATGGTCTGTGTGGGTCATGGAAAGTAAAGCAGCAGTAAAATGATACAGAAGAGATTATAGTTTGATTTGAAAGAGACATTTCTCACACTATGATTGCATCAGAGCTAGGCAATGCCTGTATTCTGAAATGAAATTACTTATTTGACAGAATAATGTGACAATACTCTGTGGATGATTACTAGTGCTATCCGTCAAATGAAAAGACCTTTCAAGATCAATAAAACTGTCTAATGTCTGATAATGGAAGCTACAGCCAGCAGACACTTCTCATAAGTAGCTTAGCTTAGCATAAAGAGGGAACATGGCTAAGTCTAAAACTAAAAGATATTCATTCACCTTCATCTATAAGGAACACTTCAACATTTGATGTCCCCTTTGTTCAATCTACTGCAAGCTTTTTGTAAAAAAAATGTCTTTGGTACTATTACTTGGCTTGGAGTACAGCTTTCCTGGAGAGAAGAGTCTGAGCCAGTCACTGCACCTGGTGAAGAACCAGTCCCGCACATAAACCCCTTAAAACCACAATTGGTTACCTGGATTGTTTTGGTCTTAATGCTGAGCTAACAGGTCTTAACTTTAGAGCCTATTAGCATATAGACTTTTGGGTGGTTTCAATCTTTTCATATATCTCTGGACAGCAAGTGGGATAGATGTATTTATGGCTTAGTATTCCTTTATGACTTGCTAGATTAAAAGCTTGAGGGATTCTTATTTGAATGATTTGCAGTATTTACAAAATCTGAAATTCCAAAGCAGTTAATCTTATCCATTTCTTTGTCACTGCAGGACCTCCCTCAGCTCCGCGCACCGTCCTCTCCCAGATCAACGACACCACGCTCAGCCTGAAGTGGAATGAGCCTCTGGACAACGGCGGCAGAACAGACCTGAGCTACGCCATCAGATGCTCCTTCTGCAGGTCCCCTAAGGGCCCCTGCCTGTCCTGCGGGGACAGCGTCAGCTACCGGCCCGAGCAGCAGGGCCTGCTGGGTCGCAGGGTGGAGGTGTGGGGCCTGCTGCCTCAAACCACGTACTCCTTCACAGTGCAGTCTCTCAACGGGGTGTCTCATGTCAGCGGCAAGGACCCTGCCAGTGGAAGTGTCAATATCACCACCAGCCACAACGGTAAGGGAGGTGAAGCTGAAAGGTATAAATAGTCGGAATTTCACCTGGTATTTATATTTCTTCTTCCATCTGTGCAGTGCCGTCGCTGGTGTCTGTGATTCGGAAGAGTGACTCCACAGAGAGCAGCCTGACTCTGCACTGGTCAGTCTCCGCTCAGCTACACTACACCATCCTGCAGTATCAGGTCCGCTACTGTGAGAAGGTGAGCCCTGACAATACCCCTCCACGGTCTGCATTTTAATGATTTTATCCTCAGGTGTACTACGGCTCAGAATATAAAAAATCACACAATGTTTTGCAAAGAAATGTAGATAGGATAGCGTGCTAATATGGATGTCCTCAGAAATCCTAAGACATGCAGGTCAAGTCTAATGAAACCCAAATTGTTTGTGTGTTGTCTAGACAAACAATGACCCAGATAATTGACAGTTTTATTGATATCAATTGCAGTAAATCAGCTTAAGACAATTCCACCTTACCCTTTAGTGTTGCATGTAACAACTGTGGAGGCAGTATACAGTACACACGTGTGTTTACATGACATACGTGTGTGTTTGTGTTTTTGCTCTGACCAAAACACAGGGGAACCTGATTCAGAAGCTCGTACAGCCAAGACAAGAGACACTTTAGATAGAATTTACATTGTATAAAGATGTTTAAACTGCAATTGGATTGAACAAGTTTGAGTCAATTTGACTTAACTTATATATTATATATATATGTATTTATAAGTGTTTAATTAAGTATTAGGGCAAGGCATGAAGGATAAAAAGATTTGGATGAAGATGGTTTTGCATTTCAAGAATTAAGTCAATGAATGTCATATATTTAAAAATAATTAAAAATGAATCAACCTACTAACCTTTCCCATTTACTGAAAGTTCAGCTTTATTCTAAATATTTATACTTAATACTTGAATCATTCTCCCTATCTTTTCTTCATACTTGGCCCTTATATGCTTTAGTAAATGAAAGATTGGATATCTAAATTCCTCTAGATGACCGAGTCTCTCTGTGTTTTGTTTCTGGGCTGTCAATTCCTCCCTAATTCACTTTCAGTCCTGTTAACTCTCCCTGTTTTCCTATGATAGGAGCGACGTAGTGAGGACCAGTGCCACTACACAGAGAGCAACAAGAACCAGGCGGTGCTGACGGACCTGCGCAGGGCGACCCAGTACGAGATTCAGGTTCGGGTGCGCACCATGGGCGGTTACGGCAGCTTCAGTCCTGCAGCCTTCTTCCGCACACTGCCTGATAGTAAGTTTGCATATTCACACATTTTTCAATTCCTTCTCGAGGGTTCTTCAGAGCTCCCTGTAAAAAAAATTGTTAAATGCATGTGTTGCTGTGCCCTTGAGTTGAGTAAGTGTCCTTGCATCTTTAATATTATAAATTCCTGTCATGTTCTGTCCTTTTCTCTACTCCCAATGTAAAACCTCCTGTCGAGATTTCTGTCTTACACTCCTCTAAGTCTCTCTCTTCACTCCCTCAGGTCACGACTCTGCCGCCCAGTTCCTAGTACCTGGCATCCTTATCGCTGTCGGGATGTTGCTGCTTGTCACTTTCGTCTTAGTGGCCGCCTACTGCATACGGTGAGAACGAGGGAAAGAGGCAGAGAAAGAGATATGTATGTGATGGGAAAACGCTGACAGAATAACAGGAAACGGGCAAAAAAAGGGGAAATTGTAAAGTAATAACAACAGTGACCCCAATTTTACAGTCTAGCACCACTTTGTTCTTTTGTTTATAAAGTCATATCTTATCAACAGTGGATTTGCACTCTGTTACCCACACCATCTTTGTGTGTGTGTGTGAGGCAGTTCACACACAAAGCAACGATCTTGATGCCTTTCGCTTACACAGCTAAAAGTTATCCTGCTCATTAGAACACTTTCCTTAGGCTTCATTGTTTGGGTAAATAGTGCTTGATGCTGTGTGTGTGTGTGTGTGTGTGTGTGTGTGTGTGTGTGTGTGTGTGTGTGTGTGTGTGTGTGTGTGTGTGTGTGTGTGATGTGTGTGTGTGTGTGTGTGTGTGTGTGTGTGTGTGTGTGTGTGTGTGTGTGTGTGTGTGTGTGTGTGTGTGTAGTGTGTGTGTGTGTGTGTGTGTGTGTGTGTGTGTGTGTGTGTGTGTTGTGTGTGTGTGTGTGTGTGTGTTGTGTTGTGGTGTGTGTGTGTTGTGGTGTGTGTGTGTGTGTGTGTGTGTGTGTGTGTGTGTGTGTGTGTGTGTGTGTGTGTGTGTGTGGTAGAGGGCAGGGAGACAGGATGCAGGCGTCCCAACCCTGTTTCCACAGGACAGGAGAACAATAGCTGTGACCTTGTGACACACACACACATACAGACACACACACACACACATACACACACACACACACAAACCAGTGGCAGAGGCCCAGATCTGCCACTAACGAGGGTGGTGCATTTACTGCTATTTTAGGCTTATGAGGTGGGAAGCAGGAGAGAAATGGAGGAAGGCGAGCCCCAGTAGCTACAGGCTTGTTACAGTCTTAACAGGGATGAGTTTCGCCAGCTGAATTATAATGGAGCGGCTCGAGTCAGAGAGTGGAACCATAGAGGTCGGCTCAGGTATTCACCAGCACCACGAGCCGCCCTGTGATGTTCGTTTGGGACCGCTGAGGCCAACAGGCAGAGTTTTTATATAAACCCCCCCACAAAATGAAGGAGGTGTTTTTGGAACAGAGACACACTATCTCTGTTGGCTGCAGGGTGTTACTCTATAGCTGAGCTGACCTCTGACCTGTCAGTGCATGGGGCTGAGGTATCAGAATATTCTCTGAGGAGATACAAACATGTTCACATTTTGCTTTGCTTGCGTGCATTACAGAATGATGTAGTGTAAGCAGTGTTTTATTCCATTGTACAGTATTTTATTTTAAATTCTGTTTCGATGTTATCTTATTGTATCTTAAAGAGGCCCTTTTTTGCTTTTTAGGGGATTACCTTTCCTGTAGTGTGTTATAGAGGGTTGTTTGCATGTAAATGGTCTCCAAAGGCAAAATTCCCTCCAATGGGAGTTTCTCTCCCACACACTAAATATATAATGTTATATAATAATATCAAACAAAAGTATTCAACCATTGTGTTGTTATCGGGCTAATTTGAGTTTTTAAAAAGTTTATATTTCATTCACAGAAGCATCCTATTACTGTTATTGCACGTTGTTAATATGCATAACATTGGGCTGATAAATCACTAGCAAAACATGAAGTTTCAAAACTTTTCATCAGATAAATTGTGTTGCCAATTCTCTCAATAATTATTCTGTTAATCTCGATCTCTTCCCACCTGCAGCAGACACAGCCGAGTAAAGGATCCAGAGCTGAGCGACAAAAACAGCCAGTACCTCATCGGCCAAGGTAAGGACACACACACCAAAGCGCTCAGATGTAATTTACTCACGTCAGGAAAATCTTTTTATAATGTGACGCAGCTGATTGCTGCTCATAGCATTCTAACATTTCTTCTTTTCCTTTCCCACGACTCTGTTTGTCTTTTCTCTCGCAGGGGTCAAGGTTTATATCGACCCCTTCACCTACGAGGACCCTAATGAGGCCGTGCGAGAATTTGCCAAGGAGATTGATGTTTCCTTTGTTAAGATCGAAGAGGTTATCGGTGCTGGTAAGCCCCGGCATTATACTTCTCCCATTATTCACGAATATGTAAACTTTGTACATGTGAACTCTTTCTGCAGACTCAGAATTTTTAAGCCGGTCCTCTTTTGAAATGAGATCATTAAGAAGAATATATTGAATTTACTCAGTTAAATTAATTCTGTGACATTTAAAACCATTTGTCGCTACTTTCTTTATTTGCCAAAATTCAATATGGACTCCTAAATGAATCAATTACCCGAGAAATATGTGACCATACTACCAGCCCTTATTCAAACAAAGAGCACCACTAGCTGCGGGCGAGTTTAGCTTTGCTTATTGTTGTCCTCCTAATGTGGTAAACACCTCTCAGAGAGAACAGCCCTAATGTGTGTTTATGTGTCTGCGCTGCAGGAGAGTTTGGAGAGGTGTGTCGAGGGCGGCTGAAGGTCCCGGGGAAAAAAGAAAACTATGTAGCCATTAAAACACTAAAAGGGGGCTTCACTGACAAGCAGAGGCGGGACTTCCTGTCTGAAGCGTCCATCATGGGTCAGTTCCAGCACCCCAACATCATCCACCTGGAGGGCATCATCACGGCAAGCTGCCCCGTCATGATCCTCACAGAGTTCATGGAGAACGGAGCACTGGACTCTTTCCTGCGGGTGAGTGTTGTAAAGAAAACTGTTGTGAAAATACTGAATGCACTCTTTCAATATCAGAGTAGCACATGATATCAAAGGCCCAACCATAGCTGTGTACGTAATAGGATGTATGATTACCTGGAAGAGCTTCAGGACACACCTTTTTAGACATACGATAGCTATGTGACAACGATTAACATGATGATTCAGCCTCTATGGAGATAGACATATTCTTATTCTTTAGTAGGATCCCCATTAGCACTAGCATGAGCATTGGCTATTCCTCCTGGGGTCCTCACACACACAAATCATACATAAACATACATAAAACAAAACAGCTCATAATTTCATGCAATTTACAGTGCTGCTGTATATGAAGTGAAAACTATAATGGTGATCCAATTTTAGCCATCATAAGGCCAAACAAAAAAATATAAATAATTGTACATAATTGACATACATACCCACAGGCACAGTTCAATTTTACTTTATAATACTGAGATAATTTCTTTGCAACCTTTTGAAATGTACTTGAGATTTTTCCTGAATGATATAGACCGGTAAAGAATTCCAGCTGAACATGGCTCTTTTGACAATCATGATAATTTCTTACTTGGGTTTTAGCTAATCTAAACTAAACATTGTACATGGCTTTGAACCGGTATTCCTCCATCTTGTGACTATGTAACACCTCTCGTGTAAATAAGCATGTGAAGGACACTGTTCAACTAGTTGTACCACATGCTCTGTATGTGATGACTACTTCCATTCTTGCAAGGATAATAAATACATGTATCCTGATTATTGAAGCTCAAGCCGGTGACGAGTGATATTTTTCTAACAAAAACCCAAGCTGTGACCCGGCCATTTCAGTGCTTCTCCAACTGAACTGTTCCTCTTCTCTGCAGCTGAATGACAGCCAGTTCACTCCCATCCAGCTGGTGGGAATGCTGCGTGGCATCGCCTCCGGCATGAAGTACCTGGCAGAGATGAGCTACGTCCACCGGGACCTGGCTGCCCGCAACATCCTGATCAACAGTAACCTGGTGTGCAAGGTGTCTGACTTCGGCTTGTCGCGCTTCCTGCAGGAGAATTCCTCCGACCCCACCTACACCAGCTCTCTGGTGAGATCACGCCTCAGAAACGATTCAATTTCACAGTATATACACCTGTCATTTAAAGATTTCTGTATCAAATCATACTCGCAATATTTCATCTAGAAAAAGACATTCTGTAATCTTCCAACAACATTCAATTCAACATTCAATTCCTGGCTCCTTTGTCTTCAGAGTTTGCCTGGTGTCCCACAAATAAGTTGTGCATATACCTTGTGAATTCTCCGGCCGTAATATACTTTCAATAAATGTCAATGTTTGACTAAGGCGAATCCAGTTTCCATTCCTTTCACGAGCATTGGCTCAGCATTGATAACAGAAGTTTTCCTTAGAATTGGTAACTAGGAAACTGATTAGACAAGCAGATTTCAGGCTTTTAAAAAATAAATTCAATAAGAGTTTTAACTTTAAAGGGGACATATGATGCTAATCTTCAGGTTCATATTTGCATTTTGGGTATACACTAGAAGATGTTTACCTGCTTTAATGTTAAAATAACACACTTTATCCTCATTTGTAACCCGCTCTATCGAAATCAGTCGGAAGTCGCAACGGTTCATTTCAAAAATAAACGTGGATTTGCGTAAAAAAATAGTTTTTCGGGGTTCGGGTGTTTTGTTTGATTTTAAATAAACAAAGTCTTGGCTTTCAGAATATGAAACCTTTTATTTCCAAAATCACACGATAAATAAATGTTTGAAGCTTGTAAAGGGAAGATGACAGCTCTCACTCGCCACTCTGCTGTTCCGCAGCGCCGCTCCCCCTCCCTCCGGCTGACATTATGAATGTAAGGCGTATAGTAATCATAGATAACACGGCAGGGTCTGTTACAGTTTGTTTTCATCTGATTTAAATTAAACAAAGTCTTGGCTTTCAAAATATTAAACTTGTTTCGGCAAATTCAGATGATAAATACAACTTTGAAGCTTGTAACGGCATAATTACAAGCGGAGAACGGAGTACAGCAGGCATAACAACAGCCGGTGTTTCTCGTGAGTGTTTTCCCCGGGAAACAAACACAATACACACAAATGCAAAAATACACAAACATACACACACACACACACACACTCGCGAGCTTCCCCCAGACCAGTAATCCAAACGAAAATATTTTCCCTCCGTACTACTTTCATCATTTGCTAATAATCAATCAGATCGATGGATTCCAGAGAGGAGGAAACTTTGAAGGCCTTTTTCTCAAAATGATGACTCGGTGATAGTCATTATATAATGTGACATGTTTTGCTTAATATTTGGAGAACAAAAACAATCCTGATATCATTAGAACGCTAGGAATCTCCTCTTTCCAACAGTGTATACAACTCTAAATGTGTCTTCGTGTCAATGCGACTGATTTCAATAGAGCAGGTCACATATTATCCTCTGTCTGAAATGCTCTGTTTAAGCGCCTGTTTCTTTAAGCCCAGCACCTTAAAAATCTCAAGACTTACGGCCCGTCCACACGGCTGCGTGCGTTGAAGCTTCAACGCAGCTTCCCATTCACTTTGAATGGGGTGACGTCACGCTTTGCCGAACTGCATTGTGGTTCTGTCGCTTCACTTTGCCTCCGTTGCTCGCTTCAAAAGTTGAGAAAAGTTCAACTCTTCAAGCTTCGACGGAAGCGTCAGCCAATCAAATCATATGCCAGTACAAGCTCTAGCCAATCAAACCGCGTACTTGTGTGTCCGGGGCTGGAGATTCATGTGATTGGTTGTTGGTCGAGCTTCAGACACGCCCGACGGCAAGCTTCAACGGACGCTGCCGTGTGAATGCTGCGTTAGAGTTTAATGTAATTTGCTCACACACTGTATATTTGTTGAAATATTATATCACAGCTGTCAAAGTTCATTATTTTGCCTCATTAACTAGAAGTTATTATTTCACTCTTGCCTTCGCTTGGGAGAGCCCTGTCTGCTCGTGTTTATTGGAACTTCTGCAGTGCTGACTGTTTTTATTTTCTGTGCAGGGAGGTAAGATCCCGATTCGCTGGACAGCACCCGAGGCCATCGCCTTCAGAAAGTTTACCTCGGCCTCAGATGTGTGGAGCTATGGCATCGTCATGTGGGAGGTCATGTCTTTTGGAGAGAGGCCGTACTGGGACATGAGCAACCAGGATGTGAGTAAACAGCCATTCACTAGGAATTTCTAGGTTTTGAAGCTGAGAATTTGCAACATGAAAATAAATAATTTGAAGTGCTTCGAATAATGTACAGAAGGAGCTGAAACTGTCAGATTTGATCACTATGGGGGAATTCAAGTCCATCTTAGGCTGCAGCCACACGAGGACAAAAACGGCCGTTTGCGTTACTGTTTAGTGTCATATAGACCATTCGGCCACACGAGGACGACCGCATACGGCACTAAACAACTGAGGAAACGATAACGGGTCCCAAGGTGGATAGAACGGCATACGCAACGCTCTGGGGGGTCCAACGGCTCCGTGTGTACGCCCTATACGAACATTTTCTGATAATGATTGCGCAATAGCCCCGCCTCTCCCCACCTCTGCTGCTCACCTCCGCGTACTCCGCGCCATTGCTGATGTGTTTCGCCACCAACAACAACAACAATGGCGGATCGCAGAGTTGCTAGCGTGCTCCGGACGCTACTGACCATGCTACAGTTCTTTGTGCAACATCTACAGCAGACTTACACATCCGGGGGGGATCTTACTCGCTGCTTTTGTGGATATGTACTGCAGCTTCAGCGATCATTTTCTGATAATGATTGCGCAATAGCCCCGCCTCTCCCCACCTCTGCTGCTCACCCCCGCGTCAAAGTAAACTGCACACTGAATTCAGATTATTTATCTTTTTCTCGATATGGACATAAACGCGAGTGAAGTCTAATCTGACAGGACGGAGACACCTCTCAAACTACCTAAACTAGTTATAAATATGTTTATTTTTACTGTCGGCCGGGTCACTCATTACTGGATCAGCTGCTGCATGAGACAGACACTGACGCTGTCCGAAGAGAGGGAGGAAAAAGAGAGGCTCCGTGTATTTTTATTATTATATTATATAGAGTCGTTATTCATTTGTTTTAAAGCTCAATAAATAACAAAGAAGACCTTTGACCGGCACTTTTATAATTGTGTCGGAAGGTTTCAACTTTAATACACGTTGACTGGCGAAAAACTCTGCCCGGTTCCCTCGGCCCCCACCGCGGAGAATAAACAGAAGGGCAACCATGACAACCATGCTTCTTCGCTGCTTTTGTGGAGGAAGTTACAGCGCCACGTACAGGCTCCTGCATATGTACTGCAGCTTCTCCAGCAGTTGGAGCTAAACGGAGCTGTCTCGTGTGGACAGACACTATCCGGTGAATATTGCGTGTGGACGGAAGCTTGTTTGCGATTGCGTTTGCGTTAATCCTATGCGTTTAGCCGTTTTCGTCCTCGTGTGGCCGGGGTCTTAAAGGACAGAAAACAAGAAACCATTGGTCGATGTGATTGCTCTTATATCCCATAATTGAAGTCGTTTTAAAATGGTGCCAGTTTTTAAATGTTTATAATAGTTTCTTTTATTTGCATATTGACTGGTTAATGTGCCATTTCATTTGTATTCGTCTGCCTGTATTGTTTTGTGTCCATTTGTTGTAACCTCTTGGCCAGGTCGCTCTTGAAAAAGAGATTTGAATCTCAATGAGACTTTTACCTGGTTAAATAAAGGATAAGTGTTTGAATCATAGCGTAACTATAAGATTACCAAGAAAAACTCGTACAATGGATTTCCTATCTTTTTCCTTCTTATTGTTTATTATTTCTTCCTGTCTGTACCCTCAATGCATATCAAGCCTTATTGAAATACCCTTTTTGCATTGGTTTAATAGTGTTACCTTTTCCACCAATCAGGTTATCAATGCCATAGAGCAGGACTACCGACTGCCCCCCCCACCTGACTGCCCGACCCACCTGCACCAGCTGATGCTGGACTGCTGGCAGAAGGACCGCTCGGCGCGCCCTCGCTTCGCAGACCTCGTCAGCGCTCTGGACAAACTGATCCGAAACCCGGCCTCGCTGAAAATAGTGGCTCAAGAGGGAGCAGGGTGAGTGACGCTGTGTTTGGGTGATTGACAGAAAACCTGCCTGATGGGGTTAGAATGACAGCAAATCAACAGCTTAAGAAAAGGAAGCATGTCAGTCATTTCATGATGTCCCTTTCTGTAGTTAAGGCATTTAACATTCCCAGGACAGACATTACCCCCCTGCTGCCCGGTCTTATGTACCACCTTCATGTCCTGCTGGGACCTGTCAGCCTCTTGCTGTGTCCATTTCCCTTCCTCCACTTTCTGCCTGTCAGCTGGTTGCATACAGACGAGGACACTCCACCCCTGACAAATCCCATTGTTTGTCCCCGTCAGTCACTCAGCCTAAGATTATACCTTTGCCTGTCGCCTGGAATGTTGCTGCAGGGTATATATATATATAAGCTCCTCGCGGCTGTTTTGGTGACGGTGTGTGTAAATGATTTCATTGTTATTCCCCTCTGTCCCGCAGGCTGTCTTACCCCCTGCTGGACCAGCGAGCACCTTTATCCCTCTCAGCCTGCGCCTCTGTGGGGGAATGGCTGAGGGCCATCAAGATGGAGCGCTACGAAGACAGCTTCCTGCAGGCCGGCTTCAACTCGGTGGACCAGTTGGCCCAGATCAGCACAGAGTCAGTACTGTCTCCTGTCTCCTTTTCCGAACTGATGCTTATCTCTAGAGGAACATTTTCACATTTCATTGCAAACTCTCATGGTACTAGGTTGGGATGTTAGCCCCTTAGCCTTTAGTGTTGGTAGTTCCTAAACAGACTTAATTACCTCTCGAAAACTTTTTTTTAAAATGGCAAATAGCTATTACTTTCATTGTCCCAGCAGTCAAAGATGATGTCTTTAAATGTCATATTTTTTCTGTCCAAAACCCAAAGATATTTGGTTTAATGTTATATTAAAACAGTGAAATAAGGAAACGACCAATTTGGGAGATATTTTTGAATGAAAAATGACTTAAACGATAAACCGTTTACTAAAATCGTTGGAAATAATTTTTCTGTCTAACAACTAATTGATTGGTCGCCTAATTGTCTCGACATCGACAGCTACAATTATGTTATATCTCTGTATTTCTTAGTAAATCATATTTAAAAAAGAATCAAAAATTCCATTGAATAGCTTTTGAATTTTATTTCTGACCGTCTAATTTGTGTTTTTCAGGGATCTGCTGCACATGGGAGTGACTTTGGCCGGACACCAGAGGAAAATACTCTCCAGCATCCAGACACTGACCTTTCGGAACAAGAGCACTGCAACCGTGACCTTTTAGCTCACCTGTTGTCTAGCCTGGACTCCAACCCACCGGTGCAGCCATGTACCGAGAGCACTCTGCTCCCTCTCTGAACACGGACTCCAAGGGAAACTGGCAGAATTTTATAATGACCAGGGGAAAAAAACACTAAAAATGACTTTGTGATCACGTTGTCGGACACAGTGACGTTTGGACAGTCAACGTCGTGCAGACCTGACTGACATTTTTAAACGTGCTACACCAAGAGGAGAATATGATCAGAATTCACAGTTTCTGTAGTATTATGTCAGTTGACTGGTTTGTTGTTCTGAGAAAAAAATCACTTCACGAAAGGAGACACAAAAAAAAGCCCATATCGTTGTGTAATCATGAATGAGAACTGCTTTCACCCTGGGTGTCTTGCCATTTAATCCATCTGGATTACGTTACAACATAGACGTTTTTCACATCAAGAACATTTTAACTGTGGATTGTACTTCTCTGTTGCTCTTTGACTTCAACATTACCTCCTCTTTACTCAGGTGTGATGTGTAATGCAAACTTTGGAGAGCGCTGTACTCGTCCTAATCAGACGTCTTCTTCTTCACGGGGCAGAGAGACACATCAGCACTTTTGTCGTTTCAGAGTGAATCTGTAACTCCATGTAATTCTCTTGGAGTGCGGTTGGTTATATCTATTGCCTGTGTTTCGGGCAGCTCTGTTTTATTGTAATCAGACTGAACAAGTGTGCACTCAGAGACCAGAGAACACTGAAGAGCTGGTTTTCTTTGTAGACATTTACCATGGAAGCTGTCTGGCTTAAACAAGTTTTTGTTGATATAAATGGTGCATCTTTAATTCTCTTCCTCTGTATTCTCCATCTACCGGTGCCATTCAGTCGTCTTTGTGGACTTAAATGCCAATTTTTATAAAGCAGAAGTCTCTCATGGGTGATTCTTGTCTCATTAAAATGCACCTCAAAGGGTTACTTTGACATTTTGAAGTTAAGTATTTTGCAAATGTTCCTGCCTTTTGCCTCAAAGCTACACAAAATATGTTTCCTAAAATTTAGCACAAAAGAAAAGCACATCTACCAGCTAAGCTAACGTGCTAGCTTGCGGTATCCATTGGTTTCAGAGGGGAATGCTAACACCACTGCTGTTTGGTTAGCACACCCCCACATGTTAAGTGTATTATTTTCTTTCATTAGATGCTGGTTGTGTGGTCAGCAAACATTGTTAAGCATTTAGCATAAAGCACATTACAAAGCTAACATGCCATCTTGCAGCCAGTCGTTTCCATTGGTTTCAAGGTGGAATGCTAATAATATTGTTGCGCTGCTTTTTGATTATCCGACACAATATTACAAGTGTTTGATGAAGAGGAATAACAGACAGGAGTTCAAAATGTCAATGTATTGCTCAGACTTTGCATCTCTCCGAGGATAATACCAGTCTTTTGACATTAAGGTCTGGCATCCTTTTCTGCACTAAATCTGGAAAATTAGGTTTTAACAGTGTGATACAAAATACCATGATTGCTTTTCTAAGTGATTTAACCTTGGTGCCATAGAGCACTTTTATAAAATATAATTTCTTCTTCATGATTTGGTCATTTTAAGTGAGGGCGATTTGGGTTTCCTTCTTCATTGGACTTTCTATTTCTATAATTATCTAGGGTTTCAAGAGGTTTAATGTGCAATATACACACATTTTAAAATCCATTCAAATCTGATGTTTAACATAAATTGAAGTCTGCTAAATACACACCAAACGATGTGTAAAAGCCACATGCTGAGTAGTACTGTTTGTGTTATCACTTCAAAATGTCCAATGTGGGTGATAGGATAAAATCATCGACTCTTAACCAATGTGTATATTGAGCCTTAATCAAAAAACTGGTATTGTCACGCAAGAGTTTGAGAGAATCCTTTTAGGATTATGGGAAATGTGATCTTCATATTGAAGATCTCAATAAAACCAACTTTGTAATAATGAATAGATAAAAGTATGTTTTGATTACTGTCCTGTGTGTAGGCTAATCTGTATTCAGTATTCATAATAAAGATACACACCAGTGTTTACCATCCAGCCTCATTCCTCTGATTATTAACTCGGCCTCTGCAGATATACATCAGTAATTCTCCCGTCAACTGGAGCGTGACATCTGTATTAATACATGTGGACGTCATCTGCTGGACGTCAAAGGAAGTTGCTATCTGATAGGAAAGTGAAAAGCCTTATCATTCGCCTGATGACTTGTGTCTCATATCAAAGCAAAGCCGCTCCACCTTTGCCGACATTAGTCGATTAGTTTGAACCTTTTATTCTCTTATTGACTATGCTTTCTTTGCTCACAGATGTTAAGCAAACAAATTGTTATTTTGTTTTTCATCTTTGCTTAGATAATGCCTCTTCTGATCTGTGTAAGATCACAGCAGAAATATGCGAGTGTAATGGGGGAATGTTTTCCAAAAATGCCTCTCATCTATCCCATCGCCCCGTTTTTTTATAATGAGAGGGAAACGGGAGACTGCGTGAGCCAGCGTTGAGTCTACATTTCGCTGCTTTGCTCTTGCCTTCTGTTCCTCTGGAGAGACTTCACCCCTCCAGGGCTGGGAGCTTGTCCTCTCCTATGTTTCCCTTCCTGGTCCTCAGCCCTTTTTTCTTCTCCTTCGCCTCGGGCTGGGAGCAGCTTAGAGCGCCGCATAAGCTTAAACTCTTACGCTCACACTTTCTTTCTCCTCCCATCTCCAAAGCTAACCAGGCGAAGCTGCCAGGGCTTCAAGAACTCTTTAGGTCCATTGATTAATGTACTTTGATTATCTCTGTGTTACTGACTCATGCCTCTAGTTCTACGGCTCTCGTGTGGCCCTCAAAGTACCGACCTGTGCATGAGCTTCCATGTAGCGGAGATAAATAACAATGAGTAACTTTCCTTGTAAGTATGCACTAAAAACTGTGTTTCGGGTTGTTTGTATCTCTGTGTCGGTGTGATTCAGTGTTAGAAAGCGAGAGACAGGCATTCATCTCTGGTTTCTACTTCTGTCAGTGCTTTGCGTGACCTTTGACCTCACTGTATAGTAGAAATCTACCCTAAGCTTTGTCTGTGTATCTGAATGGCCATTCATTAGGTCTGCTGTTGAGCAGAGAGTGGACCAGGCTGGCCAGGTTTTAGCGGATTGTGTCATTCCTCTCGCATTCCTGTGTGCATTCAAGTGTGGAGTGTGTGGTGTGTGTGTGGTGTGTGTGTGGTGGGTGGGGGATAACTAGTAGGACAGGTACATCTGTTTTTTCCAAGCAAGGGGGGCAGGGAGGGAGAGAAGGGGTAAGAGATAATCTGAAATTGTTTCTGCGGGTCTAGCAGTAAACACACAGAAAGTAATATGTATTGTTGAAGATGTACTATTGGTGCATTTTCATTAAATTGCAGAAACAAGAGACATATTTGTAAAAAACATAGAAGAAAAACAGCCACATTTGAAACAGCTGGGGTCAGAATTTCCTAAATTCTAGCTGCTACCAAGGGTCAAGCTTTAAAAACACCGTGTCCTTCTTTTCCCATAATGCAACTCTATAACCTCGTCTGTTAGACTCGGCCTGCCCCCTGTATGCCCTCTTCTCATAAACCCAAAACCTCCAGTTTGTAGTGCAGGCTCTCTGTTCAAAGCCCCAAAAGTCTCAAGCCTAATCCTGAGATAACAGATGATAAATAACTCTGATAACATCATCACGCAAGAAACCTCAACCCCCCCAACAACGTAATTTAAAGCGGAAATGTGTCCGACAATTGATGTAACTTTAAGCGAATGGCCAGGTGTGCAGAGATAAGAAAGTATGCAGGGTTTGAACCAAAGAATGTATAAAATGAGCAAAAAAAAGCTTAATAAAGCACGTCAAAAAGTAATTTAAAATGTAATTGTACATTATGTCAAAAAATAGCCTTCCATAAATCAACCATTATCCAGCTGCCACTCAAAGTGTCTATGCCCATAGTAAGGCATAACCTACGCTTTTATATCATTTAAATGTTTGAGTTATATAAAATTCATTACAGTTGTCATGAAGGGTTCATTTCTGCTCTAAATGTTGACATTTTGACATGAGGGTCTGTGAGGATTGACTCGCTTATGAGCCAGCCTGAAGTGTTTTTGACTCCTTTAAAGAGGACATATTATGCCCAATTTTAGCGTTACATTTGTATTTTGTTCCTCTACTGTTACATGTTCATATGGTTTAATGTTCTAAAAGCTCTTCATTTTCCTCATACTGCCTGTGCTGCAGCACCTCTTCTCACCCTCTGTCTGAAACCAGAGCCCAGTCTGCTCGCATTGGTTAGCTGGCCGGCTCTGTTGTGATTGGTCAAACACTTAGCAATGTCCTCTTAGCCTATCAGGTACAATGTGTTCAAGCACTAGCCAATAGAAGCGAGTGTGTTACTTTGTGATGTCACTCTCTCCTAATGATCAAAGGCAGCTTTTCACCATGCATTTGAGTGACCTTTTGGCCAAGCTAGGAAAAGTTTTGTAACCTCTTCAAAGAAAATGTGACCCAAAAAAAGTTCAAATGTGCAGATTGGTGTGGGCTGCCTCTTTTAAACTACATACATTTCTGGAAAGTACAGAAAAACTTTCCATCACTTTTCTTTTTGGATCGGCTTTTTTTTTTTTTAAATCAACAGCAGGAAATGGAAAGTCAGATGTGAGATTGTCATCTTCAGGTTCCAGATATCCTCTCCAGGATGGCTCGCAGACTATTTGATTGAAATGGCCCAATATTTCTGAGCAAATCCAGCGAGCAGCCAGCTAAGATTATTGTTCACCTGTGTACGCAGTGTGATTGCGGTGGAAGATGGGAGGCACAGTTTGCGGCTGAGCGCCTCCACTCTGTTTTGTATTAAGTCTGATCGCAGGGAGAGTCGCCCCCCCCGCTGCTCTGCAACAGTTGTGTTGACTCTGCTGGAGCTTCTGCCAGGCCATCGCTGTAAATAAGTTTGTTCTTCGCTGATCCACCTGGTCAAATAAAGGTTGTAGGAATGTAATTATACGTCCATGCTGTAGTACAGTTTGGTGTGGGATTAGTATTGTACTTTTCATTATACACTTAATCCAGTAAATCAATATAAACCTTCAGATTACAGGCCCCTGCTGTCCCCTTATTATTATTATGTGTTGTAGTAGAGTGTTATACTTCCAGGCTGTCAACTCCAGAAGGAATATCATTTGGTTTTATCTTAATTTAGGCCCAAATAGTTTTCAGATACATTTTCCAAAAACAGCCATAACATACATAAATATACATCTGGCATCCACGCCTCGTTCACCAGACTTCAAAGAGCAGATGGAGGTGTTAGTGGTTTGAAGAATGCAAATGTGAACACCTTCAGAGTGGCCTCTCCAAAGGTGTTTGCAGGTTCCTGCTCTGTCTCGGCTTTCAATACACACTCAGCAGCCGTCCATCTCTCCCGTGGCGCCCCTTTGTTTCCCTCTCCGCTAAGATGTGCTCGTTGCCTTCTGTGAGGAAATGAAAGGAGTAGGACCTTCCCCGCTTCTTATCCTCTCTCTGTGTGAATCACCCAATGCTCTGAAACTCAATCCACAAGGACCACTATGCTTGGGGGGAATTAAAAGTAGGGGAAAACTATCACATTGCTGTGGAAGTCAGAAGAAGCAGTGAGGTGTTGTGTGACAAAAAGGTTTGTAAGTGAGATTCAGAAATGGCAACCATCTCCTGTTAAAGATGTTTCTGATCAGCGTCTCTTTTGAACTCGGCTTATGGAACTCAGATTGATGAGTTTAGTCTTCTGCGTTGTGCTTAACCTCTCACACGTGCTTCACCTTCGTGTCCTAACTCAGGCTAACTCCTCCACACCTCTGAACCCAGTAACAATAAATCTCTCAGCTCAGAAAGGTGCATCCCCTGAAAGGAAACTCCTCACAAACTGAGACACCCCAGACTTTTCCTACCACCGGGACATTTTTGAGGTTTCAGGAGACAGATGTTTAGGATTCGGAGAAACTACCAAACAACATCAGTTTAAAATGTTTGTTTTTCGTGCTGCAGTGAAAAATGTCCTGTTTTTCATGATTACAGCGTACCCTAGTCTTTCTGTTTGCATTGTGGTGGCACATGTTTACCTTAACTGGATGTTTCCCCGTTTTTCTACATTTAAATTACACAGTTTGCAACCAATCACCTAACTGAGCTATTTTAATTGATGTTTATAAAGCGAACGAGCGGTAAACACTGAGTAGTTAGATAAACATGTGAGTTACTGCATTGCAGAACTGATGTTGCTCCTATATGAAAAGTCTCAACCTACTTTTCTTTTGGGCTTGCGTGAATGCAGCTCCTCACACAGCAGGCCTTCAGATTAATGCACCCCCCCGCCCCGTTCCCCTGGGGCCCCCAAACCTACACCCGCTGCTCCAGCCTGCCGCGGATAAATGACAGCTCATCACAACTGTTGATCATTATACTGTAGAAACATGACCACTCACGTTCATCACTGACCCCATGAACAAACTGTGTTTTCTGGCCTCGCATTGTGACGGTCTGCAGGGCGTGTGTGTGTGTGTGTGAGAGAGAGAGAGAGAGAGAGAGAGAGAGAGAGAGAGAGAGAGAGAGAGAGAGAGAGAGAGAGAGAGAGAGAGAGAGAGAGAGAGAGAGAGAGAGAGAGAGAGAGTCACCTTTGTTCACCATGTGCAGAGCCCACTTACTTAGAAATCTGAGAAAAGGAGCATATGGTTATGATTTAATCAGCATCTGGATGCAATACACTGCAGGTTTACAGAGTATGAAGTGTGTATGTGATGTGAATGAATGTGTTTTGAATGTAATCTGACTACAAACATCAAGTAACTGTAATCATGGCCTGGATGAAACTAATATAGCCACCAAAAGAGAAGACATAATTTCGTGTGCTGTGAGCTCCCTCTAGTGTGCCGGAAACCTAATGTATTTTTTATAATAGAAAAATAGAGAAGATAACAAATAATTTTGCTACCTCATACATGCACTGGTCGGTTTTACGAGGAAAATTGGGTTGAAATAGGAAAAATATGCAGACTTTGTTAATATCGGACATGGAT